TTCTGATCGATTAACACCCTAATTTTTTCTAAATCATCAGGTAGCTCCTAATGATTTTTCCTATCAGTAGACCGCCTATTCAAGAAATTTTTTTTCTTATTCATTGTATAAAATTATTAATATAAAAAATTAGTTTTATAATTACCTCAGGAGTAGCGGAAATATGAATGAGTTCTTAACAATGGGACATAAAAAGGGCAATCGATACAATGCCCAAGACTGCAGCAGCAGGAAACATCCGCTGATAGCATTACGCCTGTAGTCAATGTCTCGACACATCTCCCTGTACAGGCAAGCCAAAAATGTCGAGCCCCAACTGAGTGATCCGGCCAGATGAAAGTCGCCAAGATGTTGCAACCACATACGGTGAACTTGGTTGCGTGATTTGTTCTGCATCAGCAACCCTCCTATCAACTGCAGTATGCATGTCTGTGCATACTGTTTAACTTTATCGTCAGACGCGTCCTCGTTCAACTCTCGAAAATTGGCATCTAACCAATTTAACGGTATCCGTCCACCGTTAAAATTTTTCAGGACACTTCCTAGACTAACCCGGCACAAAGTAGTCTAAGAACCGGAAGCTATCCCTGATATCACACCTCCATCTACCGGAAGACCCAGGTGCATAGAAACATCCTCAAGCGTGATCGAGCACTTTCAGCACGGAAGATGGAATGTGTGGGTCTCCGGCCTCCACCGCTCTACTAAGGCAGAAATAAGGTCTGGTTATATCTTACAGTGACCCTGATATCTACCTAGGTGACCGAATCCAACCTCTATTAAATACGACATTACACGAGTAGATATAACTAACTTAAGGTTTCTAATAAAAGGATCTAAAAGACGGTATCTCTCCTAAAATATAAATAATTACACAAATTAATTTTTAAACTAATAATCATGCATTAAATTAATTAATTAATTAATTAAAACGTTAAAATATTATCGTATCAGCAAAGTGTCGAGATATATGATTTTCATCCAACCAAAGTAGATCGCCTTCCATTTTATATCTGCAAAAAATTAATTAAATTAAATATTAAATAATTAAATAAATTACTAAAAAATGCTAAATATAATAAAATATACCTTAATAAGAGAATATAAGAGTATTTGAGAGAAGTTTAGAGGATTTGGTGTGATGAAAGTGATTGAGAATGGGGGTATTTATAGGGAGGGATAAGTGTGAACGGGCGGGGGTAGGTTGGTAATTAAGAGTATAGCGCGCCGCAGGGGTCACGCCTTTCTGACGCGTATCAGAATCACAGGTAAGACGCAGCCCCTGCCGCGCTATACCCTTAATTACCAACCTACCCTGCGCCATACACACGTGTATCCATGTCAGCATAAGGCCAGCCGTACCCCACGTGGTGTCAAATCAGCGTATAACGCGCTGCAAGGGGCGCGCCTTACTACAAAGGGTGTTAGATCGAAAAATATAGTCTGATCAGTATCTGATCGAAAATATTAAATTAAAAAGATGATTTTTATGGAAAAACACCACATATCAATATATGACATTTATTCTATAATTTATTTATTATAATATTGTTATTTGGACATTATCATCATATTGATATAATTATCATTGATAGGAATATTCAATCAATCGGTTTGATTAATTGAATGAAATGAATGAACTAAAATTTATTAATTGATTTTTTTTATTTTAACTGTTATCTGATCAAAGTATTTCAAAAAAATATTAATCAAGTCGAATAAAGTTTGATTAATTTGATCAACTAACTAAATTAACCAAAATATATAAATAATATAGATTAAATATGAAATATTTAATATTTTTAATTAATTTGATCGGTTATTTAGATTAAAACCTAAATTTAAACACTCTTAAAGCTAAGTAATATATAAATAATATTTATAGTATATTAAATATTTAATAATTTAATTTAATTCAATTAATTAAGCAAATTAATCGATAATCGAAGTATGAAAAAATCATTAACTATTAATCGATTGAGTCTAAAATTAATCGAACGATTAACCAAAAAAATACTTTGATTCAATCAATTATTTTGGTTAAAACCAACTTTTGAACGGCTCTAATCTTTCACGTGATCATATTATTTTTGAATTCATGACTTAATATTATAATTAAAATTTAAACTAAAATTAAATATTAAAATTAAATCAATTATAAATTCAATAATATAAAAAGTACATAATATAAAATTAATTAATATATGATATTATTTGCAATAAAATTTGGAAATAGTCTAGATAAAAAAATTAAAAAAATACATATGTTCGAGAATTATTTTTTGAAATCTAAGGTATTTATTACGATGCATGTGAAACTCATCATAAGAGAATGAAAAGTTACACAAAATATAAAAAATAGAATTCGTCATGTGTAGCAAAAAATTATATGAAATCCATTATGTACTCATAATAAATTTTAATTATTTATTATATTTTATGAAATTCATCTTCCTCTAGTAAAAAAATATTATTCGTACTACAACAAATGATCTAGATATTAAAATAATTATTAAACACATGTATTTTTTTCTAAAATAATCCGTCTAAACTATTTAGCCAATAAAATATAATCTTGGTCCATTTATTTGGAAATTATTTCTCTAAACAATTCAGAATATGCCAAAATCAATAATTTGTGTTATGTTGAATGAAGCCGATTTATATTGACAGCCACCGAGCCGAGTCCTCAAGTTTCATACACAATTATTAAGGAACACCATCACTCCATACCGACGCACTTGTCATCGCGTTATGACCACACTTCACTGTCTGGCGATACGATCAATCCAAGCCATCGGCATCATCGAGCGTGAATCTTACGCAATATGATGCGCATGGGACAACAAAAAATAGAAAAGAATTTAGAATTTCTGTTGTAATAGAAAAGGTTAAGAAAGCGACGCCGTTCCCCACCTCGTGGTAATTCCATGGGAGTGATGTTAGATTTTTTTTCCAGAAGGATAAATGGGTGGGTCCCACTCTGATAAATAATAAATGAATGGATTTGATCTGTCTGGTTCCAATCATCACGATTTAATGGTTGTCCAAAGACATCATCAGAGAGGCTGGCTTTGATTCCCAAACAATGTATCATGAAAGGGAAGGCGGGATCAGGGCCGTTGAAAGGGGCATGGAAAGTGTGGTGTTCAGGTGGGGGTATGACCCACAGGGGTTGAATGAATAAGATTCATGTACTGGATCATGGTGATACCATATCATATTATTATTATTATTACATATTTCCTGATGTGGTCTTTCTCGTTGGGATTCGGAAAGACAAATAATGAGAGTAATGCTGGTTGCATTTAATTTCTTGGTTGGTTGGTTTGGTTCTGCCAAACACAATTCACCCTTACCTTAATAATGAAACTCAAACAATGATTTTAATGGCCTTTAATATTAGTTAGGGTAAAATATATAAATGATTTTCGATTTTATAGTGTTATTTTATTGAGTCTCTTGATTATAAAAAAATCATAAATTGGTCATTCGATTATATGACAATATTTTATTAAATCATTTGATTATTAAAAGTTACAAAATGATCATTTATGACGATGTTTTGTTGAGTTATTGACTATTAAAAGTTACAAAATAGTCACAAACTTATTCTTTTCCGTTACAAATTAACTGTTGTATGAGTTAAATATTAATATGTTGATTGTGACATAATAAAATCATATTTTAATGATGTTTATTGATATCACCATTGCTTCTAAGCACTGACTCAACGACATAATGTGAACAGAGAATTGATCTACAAAATACAACACAACAATTATGGGATAGGATTTTATCATATCACATTCAACAAGTTGATATCCACCTCAAACGAGCGTCAACTTTTTTAATGAAAAATGACGAGTTTGGTATGAATATACATTTGATCATTTTGTAACTTTTAATAGTCACGAGACTCAACAAAATAACGTCCTATAATCAGAGGACTATTTTATAATTTTTAATAGTAGATGACTCGATAACAATACCCTATAGTCATGAGTCATTTGTGTATATTTTTACCTTATTATTTAAAATTACATATAACTTTATTTAAATTGAAATCAAGTATAAATATTATAAAATAGTCGTCTGATTATAAAAAATATTCATTTTAAGTATCGAAATTAATATTTTCGGTAAAAAAAATAACATTTTAGGTAGCGCTCTACCGAAAATATTAAAAAATATTAACATTTCTGGTAACGTATTTCTTTAGCCTTATATTAGACTGTCGTACAGCAGAACTACCTAATATATTTAGAATTGAATACGAGCATATTTTAGATAGGATGAAAATATTGAATAATACTCATATCTAATTTCTAATATTTAATCTGAAATAATTATTTAATTAATTTAAAGTGATTATAAGATAATATATATTCATAATTTCATTTAATTATTGAAAAAATATTTACACCTTATAGATGTAGTTATTCAAATCTATGACCACAAGAAAAAATAATATTTTTTAATCACAAGACCTAATATTAATATTGAAAAAATAAAGGAGAAGTGGAGAAGTATGTGTGTAACATTTGTTCTTGAATTGAAAATGATTTTTTTGACATATTGAAAATGATAAATCGTTCATAATTTGACTTAAGAAAATAAAAAATGTTTTAAAAGACCCATCATGTTTATGGTAGTCAAAGTTGTGAATCATGCCATTAATAATGCATTTATTTGTCAAAGATTTTAATGGGCCACCAAAGCGTGTTGAATGCCATCCCCCGCTAAGAATCCTGCATGAATTGGAATGGAAATAAGCTTGGTTGTCAATTAGGTAGACGGATAATTAATTAACTTGCCAAAAATTACATAATAATGAAGTAAGAAAAGCCAAAAATATTTTCATTATTTTGATTTTTTAAAACCCTTTTATTATTATAATAATGGGATAAATATGAAACTGCAATAAATGGAATGCTATGTCATCATTGGACTTTCACTTGCACTCCATTCTATATAATACCCTTCCCCCCCCCCCACCCTTCCTTCTTTTTTAAAGCTTGAATATTTTCTTTTACCCTTCTCTGTATTTGGTAATTTAGCCAGGACTTGAGATTTGTTTGGCAGGCTGAGAAAATGATGGTGGGAAAGGAAGATTTGGGTTTGGGTCTCAGCTTGGGTTTCCCCCAGAATCACCACTCTTTACACTTAAATCTGAGTCCCTCTCTGATTCCATCCTCGACTGATTCTTGCTCTTCCCTTCACAATTCCTCATGGAACGATGTTTCTGCTCCTACAGGTTTGTTTTCCCAGAACCAAACGAACCTTAAAGTGATTGATTTCTTTTTCGTCTTTTATTTATTTTCAATCCCCCAACCAAAAAAATGTCATTACTTTCTTGGTTGCTTTACTCATGATTCAATTAACTTTTTTGACAATCGTTTACATAAACTCTGTTATTTTGTTCACATGCAAAAGAAAAAAAACCCTTTAAATCCGTTACTTTTTCTCTAGATCTAAGCGTGAAAAATCTTTCTTATTTTCTCTCGATATTCAGAGAAAGTTTTTATTTGCACGCAGATGCTAACTCAGAATCATTACCGGCCGAGACGAGATCGTTTCTTAGAGGAATCGACGTAAACAGTTTGCCGTCGACGGTTGATTTTGAAGAGGAGGCCGGAGTTTCGTCTCCAAACAGCACGATATCGAGTGTGAGTGGGAAAAGGAGCGAAAGGGAAGGCACTCGTGGAGATGAGATTGATATTGAAAGAGCTTGTTCTCGTGGCATCAGTGACGAAGAAGATGGCGATACTGCTAGGAAAAAGCTTAGACTTTCCAAGGATCAATCTGCTATTCTCGAAGAAAGCTTTAAGGAACACAACACTCTCAACCCAGTAAGTAGTATAAACCTGTTAGTTTTCAAAACATGATATAAATATTTTCTGAGTAACCAAACAGAAAATATTTGAAGGGTATATTTGGTAAAGAAACTAATAAATCGTGTTTTCAGAAACAAAAGATTGTGTTGGCTAAGCAGCTGGGATTACGACCCAGACAAGTTGAAGTTTGGTTCCAAAACCGAAGGGCCAGGTAAGAGGTTTAGAATACAAATGGAATTTACTGTTATCTGTAGGGATTTAAATTGCTGAGTGTTATTTCCATCATAAGGTTCCAGACAGCATTAAAACCGTTAATATTTCAATATTAAATAGTTATTTAAAATCCTTTTGAATGTTTACTAAATATGTTATTTCCTTTTTGAAGGACCAAGCTGAAGCAGACTGAGGTTGACTGTGAGCTCCTGAAGCGGTGCTGTGAGAATCTGACGGAGAAGAACAGGCGGTTGCAAAAGGAGGTTCAGGAGCTTAGAGCACTGAAACTTTCCCCTCAGTTCTACATGCACATGACCCCACCAACTACCCTAACCATGTGCCCGTCATGTGAGCGAGTGGGCAACGCTTCCTCCACCGTTGATCCCAGATCCCACAATAGGAACGTCCCGATCAACCCATGGGCCCCAGCTGTCACAATCTCCCATGGACCGTTCGATGCTCTTCATCATCGATCGTAATTATAACTGTTACAGGAGGTTAATTTTGTCAATGTAACATTGATGAGTACGGAGAATAGTATCAAGGGAGTCTTAGCGATTCCTTTAGAAGGTCCAAAGATATGGTTTGTTAGAGTTGTGATTTTGGTGGGTCATCATGTTTTGTATTTTTGGACCCACCTAAATCTAATCCTATTTTTCACCCCTAATTTATGACATATTTGCTTAGTTTAATTTTTAGTCATCTCTATTCTACATCATTTTTATATCTATTATAAAGATAAAATAATATATATATATATATATATATATTTTTAATAAATATCAAGATAAAAAGTATAAATAAAATATTCATAAATAGTATTACGAAAATATAAATAAATAAAAAAATTTCATAATAATAGTAATGTGAAAAAATATAAGTTGTTTAATTCTTCGAATTAGAATATTTATTTTACAAATTAATATGTTTGTTTATTTAATTTTAATATATTTTTATTTATCTTATAATTTAATATATTTAAATTTACAAAAAAAATTTACTAAAAATAAAAATTAAATGTGGCGTAGCTACAGTACAACGTCACATCTGACGTGTACTATAGCATATCGCCACAATAGAACTGCAGCTTTGCGATGGGCTGGACCACTCCAAAGTGGAGATATGCATCACAGAGCAGCAACGTTGGAGATGCCCTTAATGCTTATTCAATTACTTCAAATCAGATATAGCAGTGATTATATTACAGTGATTATGAGATTTTATATTCTTTAGAGTTTTTAATTAAAGTGTTGTGTATTTAGTAGGATTGTTTATTGTTAAATGATTTTAGGTTAGATATCATTTTATATTTAACTGAAAAAATATTGGAAAATTTTAGTTCAAGGAGAATTTCAAATTTCAACTTTAAATCAAATATTGGTTTTTCAAATTTCTAATTCAATCCCATTTTGTTTTCCTTTATATATTAAGAGATTTGAGATTGTGTGGGTTATGGTGAGCGATATATTTTTTTTTAATTTTGAGTTATTCGAGTCAATTTGATTATCGGTTTTCGATTTTGATTTAAGTTAAAATTTTAAAATTTCGAGTAATTTAAGAAATTAAAAGTTTGGATGAATATTTTGATATACTTATGATTTGATTTACATCAATTCTTGGACTCATTTATATTCTCATTAATCTTTTATCCTCATAATATCTTATTTTTTGAAATATAATATTATAAATTTTTTTATAATTTTAGATTAAACGTGATATATCAAATAACAATGTAGTGTGAAAATAAAATAACATTGTAATGTGAAAATAATGTGAAGATATATATATCTTATATTGTTAGAGAAAATTAAAAAATTGGAATAAATTTATATTATGATACTATAAATAATTATAATTAAATTTGTATATAAACTTGAACTACTCGACTCAAATTTCTTAAACTCGACTTGACTTGAAAAATTTTCAAGTTAAGTTCGAGTCATAAAAATATGATTCGTCAATTCAAATAACTTGAAATTTTTGGCTCGACTTGACCGAATGTTTATCCCTAACGGATACCATTACACTTAGTATTTGAGCAAGATTTATATTTTTAAGGGTAAAGTATAGTAATGGTCACTGAACTTTTCTAAAACTTTCATTTAGGTCCCCAAACTTTTAAAACTTACAATACAGTCCCCCAACATTTAGTCTATTTGCAATATGGTCCCCCAACAGTTATGTCAGGGACCATATTGCAAACGGACTAAATGTTGAGGGACCATATTGCAAATGGAATAAATGTTTGGGATTATATTGCATGTTTTAAAAGTTTAGGGACCTAAATGAAATATTTAGAAAAGTTAAGTACCCTTACTATACTTTACCCTTTTTAATATGATTTTTTTTCTTAATTCCCCCTCCACCGCAGACCCCATCCCTAATCCGGCGAGAAAACAGGGGCGACGATGGAGTTCCTCGACAGATTCAAGAACTTCAAGCTGGTTAAAGCCCCAATACCATTCATTATCTCTCCCGAAAACGAATTGTGAGATAAATCCAAGACTTGAATCTTTTGAAGCGAGGTTCTTTGTGAAGCTAAAATTGGACTACTCAACTTTGCACCAAGCTTGTTCTCCGAAAGTGATACTTGACTCGAACCAGTCTTGAAAATCCATCCAGGAAGATCACCGCTCATCGAATTCTTGCTAAAGTCCAACGCGAGAAGATTCACATTGCTTCCCATAGACGGAGGCAAGCTTCCGGTTAAACTATTAACAGAGAAATCTGACAGGAAAGATTATTCACAGAGAAATCCAAAGTCTCAAGACTTCACAAATATCCTATCCATCCAGGAACCTCTCCGCCGAATGAATTCATACTCAAATTAAGATAACTACAAAGGCTAAGCCTTTGCATTGTGTGTGGAACTGACCCAGAAAGTAAATTCATGCTGAAATCAATTGATTTTAACAATAAACAACTCCCGCTCCCATCAGGAATCTGCCCAGTGAACCTATTTTCTTAAATTAATGGATCTCAAATTGTTCAAAGCTTCAATCCCTTGTGGAATTTCACCTTCCAACAAGTTGGCAGGCAAATCCGATGACCTTAAACCACTCAAACCCAAAATCCCACCAGGCAAAGACCCTGAAAACTGGTTCCATGACAAGTTAACAGCAGCAAGTGTAACACAAGAGCCTAAACTCGAAGGAATCTTACCCGATAACCGATTACTAGCCAACAAAATGGACCTCACAGACCCACATTGCTTGAAAAAAATCATCAGAGACAAAACCCGAAAGGTAATTCTCACTCAAATCAATGATTCTTATACTTTCAAGCTTTGCCAAGTCGAGGCTTATATTTCCACTAAGATTGTTCCTCGCTAAGGAAAGCTTCCTCAAGAACTTGAGTTGCCGATCAGACCCGAAAGAGAGAACCGTTTAGGTTGAGCTCGGTAACACGGTTCAACCTTGAGTTACATTTCTCGCCAATCCAGTTACAAGGAGTGTCATCGTCTTCGTTCCAAGATGAAAGCTTTTGGCTTGGGTCTTGAACGTCTCCTCTGAAAACTATTAGTCCCAAAACATCGTCGTTCAAGGAAGGGCTTAAAGATCGTCGCCCCTGTTTCGTCGCCGGATTAGAGATGAGTTGAGCGGTGCAAAGGTAATTAAGAATAAGGGTAAAGTATATTAATGGTCACTGAATTTTTTAAAGCTTTCATTTAGGTCTACAACTTTTAAAACTTGCAATACAGTCCCCATTATTTAATCCGTTTGCAATATGGTCCCCCAACAATTAGGTCTGGGACCATATTGCAAACGAAAAAAATGTTGAGGGACCATATTACAAACAGACTAAATGTTGGGAGATTATATTATAAGTTTTAAAAGTTGGGGGACCTAAATGAAAGCTTTAGAAAAGTTTAATGACCATTACTATACTTTACCCTATTTTTAATTGGGAACATATTCCATAATTTAGGATGGCTAAACTCACTAAAAAATGCAGAGGAAAAAAATATTTCACGTGATAATCCTCTCCAAGAATTAATTGTTCAAATGATGCGAATGATACAGTGCTCGTATTGGTCGCCATGCAGTCGGGGCGAAGCAAGTAGGTCGCCATGCAATCGGGGCGACCTTGTAGGTCGCTATGCAGTCGGGGCGACCAAGCCTGCTCCCACTGTCCCTTGCCGTTGCTGCTGCTGCTCCCTCATGCTGAGAGAATTCCAGGTTGTCCACCGAGTGAATCGAACAGCAGAGAGAGAGACTGCTGCACATCGTGGAAAGTTTGAAGACGATTCAGACATTTCTTATTTTGAAGAAGAGTGTACTTTAAGCTTTGACAGGCAGACGCCTGCTGATGTGATGGAGTCTGATGAGTTGAAGAAACACAATCCAGCAAGCAAGAACATTGAAACTCCGGTTCTAAATATTGGCCTCAATGCAGACTTAGACGAGAATGGAGACTCTATCGTATCTGTTGCTGCTGCTAGTCCGAGAGCAGATAGCAGACCTAAAAATAAAGACGAATACCCTGGTTGGTCACTTTCTGAAATCGAGAAGATGGCCATCATTCATGTTCTAATTTCTAATTCAAACAGTGAAATAGATGAAGACTGCTGCTAATCATTTCTTATTTTACTTTCATAAAATATAAAACATTTAAATAAGTTGAGTAAAATCGGTTTGATTCATATAATGTCTAATCATCAACTAATAATTTTAAGCTTTCACTTATTTTTTTAAATAGCTTTCATTTAATTTTAATTGTAAAAAATATGAACATTTTAATATAAAATTATTCTTTAAGGTTAATATTTTGGTTGTTGTTGAAACCCTAAACACTAATCTATAAACTCTAAACCCTAAATCCTAAATCCTAGATCCTAATCATTCTCCCTCCAATCAATTTCTTCTTATAAAAAACAAATCTATAACCACCATCATGGTAGATATCACCATCCTCTACCCCTTTCATTGCCCTCAACATACCATGAATTTATAAAGGTTTTCAGTAATAATCAAAAAAATTTAGGGTGTAGGGTTCACAAAATCAATATACAACAAATAATATAAGTAACTATTGATTTTGTGAACCCTAAACCCTAACATATTTTGATTGTTATTTAAAACCCTAAACACTTTCTTCTTATAAAAAAACAAATATGTAACCACTATCATGGTAGATATCACCATTCTCTATCCCTTTCATTGCCCTCAACATACCATGAATTTATAAAGGTTTTCAGTAATAATAAAAAAATTAGGGTTTAGGGTTCACAAAATCAATATACAACAAATAATATATGTAACTATTGATTTTGTGAACTTTAAACCCTAAACCCTAAAATATTTTGGTTATTATTGAAAACCCTAAACACTAAATCCTAAAACCTAAACATGAACCCTAAACCCTAACCATTATCCCTCCAATCAATTTTTTCTTATAAAAAACAAATATGTAACCACCATCATGGTAATATCACCGTCCTCTACCCCTTTCATTGCCCTCAACATATCATGAATTTATAAAGGTTTTCAGCAATAATCAAAATATTTTAAGATTTAGGGTTCATAAAATCAATATACAACAAAACCCGGACTCATATTTATTAACCTCATTCGCATAATGATAATTAACATCCACATTACCATAATACAAATCCTTCTATTCATTTCTCAAGTGCCAAACCAATTACTCGCCTCTATATTTTTAAAATTCATTTTTAAGAAATTAATCGTTT